TTTATTTTTTGTTTTTATTTTGCGTAAATTGAAACGTTTCATGTTCTTTGTTTATCATCATGACATTATGACATTCATTACTAATCCTTAGATGTTTTTTTCCCAAAAAAATATTTTATTGATAGTCGATCGTCTATAAATATTAAATATTTAAATATATAGGTAACCATAATTTTTTAAATATTATGAAGTAGGCAAATTTAATCAGTTGCCCCTTTTAAAAGTTGAAATGACGCCCTTGTTTATTATTTAAATGTGCAGGAACTTAGGTTTAGAAATTTTCCTTCCATAATAATGTTTGCAACTGATCCTCCTCCCCATACAAAAGTTATGTATACGCCACTGACTGAAAATGAAGGTAACGAAGGGGACAATGAAGTTAATTATGAAGAAAACCAATTAAAAACGTACAAGGATGCACTTATTTACATCAAGAATCTAGAATAATTTTTGTTGAATAAATGTGATAGTAAGTAAATGTAAACGATATTGTTGGCAAAAATACAAATTGAAAAAAAGCATTGTTAAAGAAAAAAAACCAGACAAAAACTTTACATAAACTTTGGAATTTGTAATTGTATTTCAAACTGCTTAGTTTATTGCTATTTTTATTATTATTTTATTACTACCTACTAAACATGTTCTTAAAATTTTAATTTATCATTTTTCTGAAATATTTAATTGATGCATACAATGTAAATATTTATTAAAATTTAAAATTTATTGTAGCATGTGATATTTATTAATTTTTAATTTTTATTATCGGACAGAAAATGTTACAACCTTAAGTTGTACAGATAATTGTTACTCAATAATAAGAAATTTTCCTTTTTATTCAGTTATATAGAAACCTGCCTAAAACAGAAATTTTAATTGGCTCCATGCAATTCCGCACAACACAGGTTTTACTGTAGATCAAAGATACATATAATTTAAATATTAATAAATAAATATATTATATTAATCAAAGATATATTAACTTCCTATAAAATAGGCAAATATATAATACTATTTAGTAAACTGTTGTAGAAAATCATATAGAAATAAAAGACAAACATCACATTAAAAATGAAAGAATCTAGTATAATAAAGAAATAAATTGATTTAAGTAATTCAAATCCTCAAACTTAAGTAGTAAGATTAGATGAGATTAAAGTTTGACAGTAGAAATTCGCTGGTGAAAAAACTCGGAATACATTATTATAGATTTAAGAAAGAATAATTATACCAAAAAGGTACAGTGCCTACAAATTTTATATAAAATGAAACTTTAATTAATTCTGGGAAATCTTTAAGTGTTGACAATTATAAAACCTCCCATCAAAATATGAGTCTCCTTATTCATACTTCAAAAAGAGTAAATTGAGTACCATAAAAACAGAATAGAACTAGAGTAATCATTTTGAACTTAGACAAATAATAGATGTATCAGAGAAACAGTTTTAGATTGAACATGAACTGAAATATTTACATAATGTTAATCAATCTCGAAAAAAAAATCATACAATCCACAATTTATGTCTACCTTGAAAAGAACCTAATTGGATAGGAGATACAGAATAATTATACAACTACCTACATAATAACTTTGCAAAGATCAAAAAAATGTTTTTTTACATAGAAGAATCTGCAGAAGATTAAAATAAGCTGTTTTTTGATAGCTCAAGCTCATACTTCTATTAATTTAATATATTTATGGAAGTTATTAAAAAAGGATACAATTGAGTGATATAAATACATAAAATTAATCTATTGTAACAGATTTGCATACAACATTACTTTGGAAATATAAACAGAGAAAATCATAATATAAAACTAGAAAATAATTACTATGTATTCTTTGGATTGAAAGAAAGTTTAATGCAGCTTTTATATAATTATTAGAACAGGAAAATTAAATCATAAAAAACTTATACTTAGTACACTAAGACTTTTTCCAACATAAAAAATAGAACAATCAACTATCGTAGAAGGAGAGGAAGACCTAGAATGAAATTTATAAGAAAAATGATTTGAAATGGTATGATAATATGAAGATAATAACTTTAAAAATATAAATGGAGGTCTACCTATATATTTATTACAAGTCAAACATAGACAATAGAAAAGAAAAAAGACTTGAAATAATGTACAGAGAAACCTCTAAATATCAGACTTTGTCGATTGCTGCATTATTCACCAATATTTAGAGGGAGAAATTTTATTTTAAGTAAAATAGAACTATAAATTAAATTGAAATAAAAAAAAATATATTTTTATATTAATTAAATATATTCATCTAAAAAATTAATATTTATGAAAAAAATATGTTTGTATTAGCAACACAAACACAACTAAATAAACTAAATACCAATCCAACGATCCATTAGTTAAATTTCTTTGACGTGATAATATTTAATATTTCAATGAGAAAAAGATATGCCTACTATACTGTATAATAATGTATCTAATAAAAATAACTTAACAGTATAGATTTCATAATTATTCTTAATTTATAATAAAATGTATCAATTTCAAAGATTAAAATTATCTTAAAAATGTCCATTATTTAGAGTACTTCAGATTCAGAGGTTTTCCTATAGAAAAGTAGTGAACATGTTTCCATAACTAAAAAAACATCAGTTATTAGGAGGTATCCATTAAAGAAGGTGATATTGTATGTCTAAAATTGGCAATTTTTCAAAATAAGCTATAATTTTTCTTATAGTTTCAAATATTTTTATTAGGTAATTGAAATATATTATCATTATTCAGTTAAGTTTTTTAACTTAAATTTCATAAATTAAATTTATATTTCACTTAATTTTTTTTAGGTATTTATATTTTAATAAAAAATATAAACTATTAAATAGTAAATGAACGAAAAGTATTAAAAATTAAATGATATACATTTTAATTTACTGATTATATTTAATTTTTGTTTCATTTTACTAATAAGTTCAAATAGTGAATAATTTAGGTTCTAGATTTTTAATCATATAAAAATATAGTAAAATATTTCAAATTAAATTATCATAGGATAAATACATTTTTCATAATTAGGAGATATAGATGAATAGAGATTTCACTTAAATCAAATTATATTCCAGTAATAATTTTTAAAAAAATTGAAACTCTTACAATTTTTTAATATATAAAATATTACTTACTACTGTTTTTTTTACTAAAAAATGAATAAAATAAATTTAAAAATTTGAGTTTATTATTAAACACAAAAATGATAAAAATAAAAATTTAAAATCTATATATGAAAATCTTCATTAAAAAAAATGTAATTGCGCAACGGAATCAATCAATTTTTGATCTGCACCAATATAATCACATTCAACGGAACTGATTGTATTTAAGTATACATGATAGATCTATTAACTGATATAATATTGAAGTGTTATAATTTAATTAACAAATGATTTCTAGAAATTGTAGCTGTTTTACAGATACTGAATTAATATTTCTACCTACTTATTAAATTATTTGTACCTACCAACTATTTTAAATTAAGTATGTGAAAGTCCCTGATAATTCTATACAAAACGATTAATCCTAAAAATATTTTAAATTAATGTTGAAAACTTTTGAGAATTGCTTTTTTAACCCTAGATTTTACACGTATTGAAGTCTGTAGTTAAATTAGTTAATTTAATAAAAACTAATCAAAATATTTGATAAAAAGAATAAATTCTCTATTTTTATGTATTAAAAAATATAAGGTCATGGTATAATAGGTACATACAGTGATTAAAAGCAGTTGACCAATAACACTGCCTAATGTTACTTGTTTCTGGATGAATGTCTAGGAAAATAGTGATAAGACTATGATCAGTTTCCAACCTTAGTATATTACTTTTTGGTATAAAAAAGTATTCAAAATTTAGTTTTTCCCAATTTATAATGTTGAGATAATAAATACATTTTAAAAAACCCATAAATAATACAAAATAACCAAATAGACATAGAAAATAATAATAAAAAGTAAAGTTCTATAAATATAGTTCCATACTTTTATAATAATCTTATAATTATCTATATTTAAAAACAAAAACAGTGCCTATGATTAAATATTTAAATAAATAATGTAATGCAAATAAATTTAAAAAATGAATAAATGTAAATGTCAATAAATTTAAGTAGATACCCAGGTAAATAAACAGTAGAAAGATAAATTTACATTCTTATATAGGAATTTAATCAACAGTTTCTGTAAGTGGCCTGAAGTAATCATGAGTAATTATAAAACTTATCAGCAAGACAAAATAAGAAAGATATGTAAAAAAAAAATTGACAAACGAGTCATGCCACTTATAAAATTCGAAACAAGTGCTTAGATTAGATATAAAACAAATTTGTTAAACAATTATTTTATTTGTGAACAAATATTAGCATATTGATTTCATATTGTCACAAGAATTCACGCAACATATACACTCGCAAAAATACATATTTAAGTAAATATTTAAAAACGCAAGTTAAAAATATTCAGAATTCAGGTTGTGAATGTGCAGGACAATATGATAGAAGATTGAAAAAAATAAATAACTGAATGAGTAAGCAGTTGGAAATAAACACAAATCATAGCTAGCCAACTGCAATGCTAAACTCGATTTGTGACCAAATGAATACGGAAGAAAACAGGTTCACCACAGGCGGCGACTAGGTACACGCAGTAACATATTCTCCGGGTCTCGTACGACGTCGCTGCATCAGGCACGATCTGCACCGAAACTATTTTTTTTTTTTTTAACACAGGTGACAGATACCTGCATGTCACCTACCTACGCGCGTTGTACTCAAGCCAAAGCCATAGCACAAAAATCACGTTTTTTAAACTCTTTTCGTCCGTTATGGACCCGTGAACCGCGATACCCACGCGCAGGCACGAAACTTCTTGTCGCAAAGCCTGACAAGTCCACTGCGCTGTCACCACAGTCGATAACAAAACAATAAAAAATATGACACCGACATGGTGGACACCGCAGAGACGATGCTGTGGTATCACTTACCGTCAGAAGTCTCTGAACAGGAAACGAACAGCACGAGAGCGGCGACGATGACGGCCGATGACAACGTTTTGTAATGCATTTTTGCTGCTGCACTGCGGGCGTTCCGTTGGGATAGGGAAAACAACTACGTCGGATCACGCGAAACGGATGACACCGCGATCGTGTATGTGTTTAATGGAAACTCATAACAATGTCTCGATAGAAAATCATAAAAAAAAAAAAAAAAAAAAAAAAATAATAACAAATAACTTTCTTAAACTAAATGCCAATACCAAGGGTCGTGGTAAGTGACAATCTTTTGATTACACGCGAAAAACACGAATATATTCGATCGTAACTAGTAATAGCAAAACGCATGCGGGAAAGCAGAACTGCACTGACATAGAAAATGAATATAAACCTACTCGTAGTCTTACGCACGCACGCACGCACACGACCGTAACACGCTCGTACACACGCGCACACACTCTTAGCGAAACGCACGCACGCACGCACACACACTCGATGTACACACAACGTTACATTACTACTGTGGCGCGGCGGAAGACCCTCCGCCTCTCGCCTCTTCCACCGGCAAAATCGTCCTCATCATCCCTTCTCTCGCTGCCGCCGCGACCAACGTACTCCCACCGCCGCGGTCGCGACGAATCAATAATTTACGTGAGTCAGAGAGCCGAATGCCGTTTTCCTCTTTTGTCCGGCGTCATGGAAAAGAAAATCAAAACGCACTGGTGTCAAGGTCAGTATATCTACATCCAACAATAACACGACGTCCGGAGATACGAACGTTTTATTATTTTTTACGCAAAATAAATCGGTTCAGCCTCAACGCGTGCGTGCGAATCCGTCAGGTTCTAATCCAATATGTGTCGATCTCACGTTGATTTGCATAGTATACTATGATATCTCCGCGGTCACTGGTTGTAGCATAATGACATGTTTTTTTTCAATTGAGTTGGTACTTGCAACCAGTGGCGTATTTTCAAATTGTGCATAGTTAACAATTTTTTTTAAAAATAAATAATTTTACAATATGATAAAAAATAAATATAATACAATATTAATACCTATACATTATAGACTATAGTAATACATATGCAAATAATTTATTTTTATACAATCATTACAACCACATGATATGAATTAATGTTCTCTTTCTCTGTACCTTCGTACATGGGCACAACTAGAGCCCAAATATTAGGAGTGCTGAAATTGCCGAAAATAAAATGGTATTTAACTGTAATTACTATAGATTATATAGATTAGGAAAAAAAAACGACTGCTACATTTGAACTAAGGGGTGCTAAAAACCCTATTGCGCCCCCCCCCCCTATTTGTGCCTATGCCTTCGTAGCAAGTTATTTATGACTTTTGAACATTTTTTTTTCTTCACGGGGGGGGGGATGTCGAAACCCGGAAACCCCTCCTCTTCAAAAATACGCCACTGCTTACAACTTATCAAATGTCAGAAATATTTTTGAACGATTATTAGATTTCTAAGATTGCCACGAGATTTGTGAGCTTTTCAGTGCCTGTAGATTACCATCTAGTCAGGCGTATTTTAAATGAAAAAGGATAGGTAATGAATTGGATATTAGATTTCTAATTCACTAGGTACTGAAAATTTTTAACTCATATTTCTTACATGTGATTTGCTTGTGCCATGTCACCTGAACTGCAACAAATTATCTCGCTAAAGGTCTAACATTGCAATTCTATTTAATATGTATTCGCCCTAAAATTACGTATACAGTTATCAAATATGCTTAATAAATAAATCTTATATAATTCATTAAATACATATGATAATCATAAATATATAGGTGTGAGATATTATTGGTGTAGCGTCGAAGATGAGAGAAAATAGACTAAGACGATTTGAGCATATGATGAAGCGAAAGGGAAAAAAGCAGTTGGAGTGGTTAAAAAAATAAACTTTGAAGGAGAAAGATAAAGACTAAAAAATAGATGGTTGGATACAACGACAATGTTGTGAGGGCTGTTGATGTACGTGTAGGGCATGTAGAAAATCGTGAGGAGTGGAGATTTAAGACAAGGGTGGCCGACCCCAAACATTTGGAAGAAAGACGAAGAAAAAGAAGAATCATAAATATATAGGTACCTACACGTTTTGAGTAAAAATCAAATCTTAATATTTAACTCATAAAATATTTAAATTTAAAAATTATTAAAACTAAATAATTATGCTTACCGAATAATAATAGTGTTCAACTGTTCAAAGAATATTTTTATTGTGATGTCAGATTATTGTTTTGTAAAATATAAAGTAAATTAAATTTTATATTAAAAAAAAAAAAATTCAATTATACTTGTTTGGAAATTTTTATGTAAAAGTATTTTTCATAAAATATACAAAGATATAAAGAAAAAACTAAATATTTACCCAGAATTGTATGAAACGTCGAGATCTCTTATTACAGATTATTTTAAGTAGGTACCTAAATGATATGAAAACTCATACATTTACATAAAAATGTGAGCCCTGAGTAGTTGTGTATGACAAGAATTAAGATAATATGAAATAGCATGAGATTATATTATCATTTAATATATGAATATGTGATGTGATGTATTTAAGTACTTTTGACTTTTGATCGCCTCCGAGGGCAGTTATCCAGTAGGGGCGGTTTCCTTTTGATATCTGCGGCTCACGCGTTAAATATTATTCTTACACCGCCATCACTACTGTCTAATTCTTCCATAGATTATTTATATAAAATTTCAGACACCATTGTTTAATATTCATTCAGAGGAATCCACTTGACTATGGCTTACTGCCATCAAAAAGTTAAAATAATGTATACTATACAACCAGTGACGGATATAAATCTTAAAAGGCCACCCTACAGCAACTTCAAAACGGAAGCCCCTTCAAAAAAAAAAAAACAGAAAATTGACATAAATCTAATATAATTCCTCTATACATGTTAAAATAAAACAGTAATAACAAGAATGAGTTAAAAATAAATCAATATTCAATGGATAATTTTATAATTTTATTTAACATTCGTTTAATTTGATGAGTTATTATTATTTATTATTATTATTATTATTATTATTATTTAATATTTGGCAATCAAATGTTTTTGATATATTATATAACCATCATGTTTTGCTTATTCCATTAAGAAAATCTAAGACCCGCATCTGAAGCCTAAAAATTATCTCAGCCTTGAGAACTCGGTGCATTACACTTTCTGCAGCTCCACTAATTCTGTAAAAGCCACTAGAGACCTCCATTTGAGAGTATTCAATAATACATACCTACGTGACTACGTGCAATGCCCATTTTCTTTTTATAAGAATAAATATATACAGATAAGTTGTATTCATTATAGCAAAATCATTCTCATGAAGTGGATATCCACTTTGCAGAAGTATCCATATCGTAATTAAAATAACATTTTTTACATGATAAGTATTATTATATTTATCCACTTCATGAAATATAGGTATTGATTTTATGTTATTTTTTCACATCATGGATATCCATTTTCTAATATCTACGATCTAAGCATGTTTATTACACATTTCAGTAATTCGCAGTACTAGAACTAATATTGGAACTGTGAATTTTTTAATCCACAATACTTTTTTAAATACGTTTTATTATTTTCACATACTAAAAAAATATAACAAATATAATTAAATTGTATATATTTAAAAAAAAAGTATATATATATATATATATATATATATATAGGATGGCTTTCAATTATAGATGAAAAAAAAATGAAAATATTTTTGATTTCTCACTCCTCATTTTATTTATTATTATAAGAAAGTAATTTGAGTTGAATTTGATTATGATTATTAATCCTCTTCACGTGCCCTAAGGGAGTTTTAAAATTGTAACTTGGGATGGTATATCGTTTTTTGAATATGATCAATAAACTATTGAACTTTTGTAAAAATGTGCATAATTTAAATTATAGAAACTTATATTTTTAATAAAAAAAAAACAAGTCTATAACATTTTTCATACATCAATGATTTTCTAGAAAAAATATAAAAGGAATATTTTATATATTTTCAAAAATTGCTTTTTCACGGTTTTTCAAGTATATTAGAATAATGGTTGATGATACAAAAAAATATCCTATATAAGAATAATAAAAAAATTAATTTTCTGTAAAAATTTAATAAGCATAAATTGCATTAGATTGATTATTTTATGGCAAGAGTCGGTTAAACTTATGGAAATTAAAAAAATATATATATAATAATAATATATGAACTCGTTATATGTTAACTCGATGATTTCAATATTAAAATACATTTTTGAAATAATAATATAATGTATTCAAGTAATCATATAATGATACAATGTATAGAATTTATATGCTTAATCTCAATTGTAAATATATTTAATAAAAATTACATTTATAAATGTTCATAATTAGAAGGGCTTGGACAAGGTGATCCATTCTCATAATATTTATATCTATAACTATATAACATTTGCATTTTGGATAGGTACCTATTTAAAATTAATATTACATTTATATTAATTAAAAAATTTGGAAATGTCTTTTCCAGTATACGCTATATTTGGAATCAACATTTCAACATTATATTATCTTTGGAACAAAGCGATAATAATTAAATATTACCTTCATTATAGTTGCTTTGATAATGTTTATGGGTCATGGGTGGGTGGTCGGTATTAATATAATATGTTCGACCCATGTCGGTAAGAATGAGTGTGCGCCACTGCATAAATGTATGTTTTTTTCGTAATAAATAAGCATGTAACATGTTCTTTGGCTTAGAAATCCTAATGAAAAACTATATTTCAGTTGTTAACGACAACATGTACAACGTTTACCGCCTCGTCGATGTTGTATTCTTTTAATAATGACGATAAGCTGTGATTGACACTTGGCAGCATACGACCGCCCCAAGAGAATAAACCGGCGTCAGCTACCACCCTCTTGGGCAACGTGTATATCCTTGTACCCTACGAACAAAAAAACCTACCAAATACCATACTAAAAATCACCAATAGGGAGCTAATTTCCATAGTAGTTTAAGTCATCCATAGAAAAAAAAATCGAATAAAAATATTTAAAATTGTAAACATTATTATATTAAGATTAAATTTTAGTTATACAATGTGGGAAAAAAAGACTAAATCAGCAAAAATTGTATAATAGGCAACGAAACATTCCACACCTAATTTATTTGTTGGTTGTCTAGATATTATGCAATATTAGCTAATTCAGTCTCTTAGTTAGATTGAGTACGGTTAGGTTACTATACATATATCATATAAACTTAAATTATTTAAAATTATTTTAATAGAGTATTCTTGTTTCTTACTAAATTTCTAATCTAAATACAAGAAAATTATTAATGAATTATTCAACATAACACATAAGTATGAAAATATTTCTTTAAATTTACTTAAAAATTTAAAATAATTAAGTTACTATCGATTGTAAAATAAAATTTAGTCTAGGTTTTTTTTAAATATTTTAGTTAAGAAATGGGTTATTATCAAGATTCAGAACTTTATGTACTAAAAAGTACTTAAATATGAGTTAAAAAACATCAAAATATGCAATAAAAATCTAAAAAATATGCAAAAATATGCAATTTCTTGAATAAAATACAATTTACATTAATTAGGTACACAGGGAAAAAATGTAAAAAAAAATAAACACTGCACATTTATGTATTGTGTCTTTCTACTATACAAATGTGTAGCTCAATTGTATTTAGCTTAATTGCAATAATTGTAGTTTTAACTATACGATCTTCATCAATCCTTTAATCTTCTTCAGTATAAATGTATAAATACTGATAACAACCACTTTATGTAACGGTACATTAATAATGCTTTGGTAAATTTAGATAAAAATAAATTCGGGCTAGTCGTCTGTTACGATTTTTCAGTAGAAGATCTTATAATATTATTGTTAAATGCATTGGGAATAATACTGAAATTGCCATTGATGAATTATTTTTTTTTTTTGTCAAACAATATAAAATTTAAAATTTTGGTTGTCATATATCTAATATTTTTTATTGAACTATAAATTAGTAAAAAAAAAAGAAATACTTCGTTAAATCTATGAAATATGCATATAAAAGTTCTTAAACCTAAAATATGTGAATTCCTACAAAAAATAATGAAATAAGCATAATTATGCAACAAAAAATTTTATATTTGAAATCTGAGTACTCTGTACCGAATTTTTATCGAACCAAAATTTCAATATGCACTTTCTAAACAAATATGTAAATACCTTAAGTTTCGACCCTTGGTTATTACTAATAACTACATAATTTTTTGAGTGTAGAATTTATTAAAATCTTTAAAACGCCTTAGAATGTATGTTTATAAATAAAAGTATGAGTATCAATTTATTTAAGCAGTTCTATTTTTTATTCAAAATATTTTTATTCCTCATAACCACTTTCTTAAATGTAGAGGAACAATAAAAATCATCAAATATTTTATAAGTTAGTTCTGGAATTTAAACCTTTTAATTTTCTCAAAATAAAAATATTAAACTGAGTATATGTAATAAATATTTTTTGTTATATTATTATATTATATATTATTGAATAACGCATATTATAGATGACAAATTTTGCTGTTGGTTTGATAATGTGGTTTTATATTGATTCGCTGTAGTTTCGATTTCTGCTTTCATTGGTCTTGCCAAGTGTTGTTCTAAATCAAATTTTGAAAGTTTTAATCCCAAACATTCAGCCACTAATTGTTGCCAAGCAAACATTACCTTAACAAATAATTTGATTTTTAAGAAAAAAAATAACTTTAGGTTAGATTTGGATTAATTTTATATAAAAACTATTATTAAATTAAATGTTATTCTTTTTAGATTGATTTACATTTTCACTAGTACGCGCTGATACTAATTGAGATATTGCTATTCTGAATTCTTTTGAAAATATTATTTGCTTTTCTTCAGCGACTGTTCTCTTATGTTCCAAATCACCTTTAATAATAGTTATATTTATAATAAACATTTTACATACAGATACAATATTAGTAATGTTTTCTAACTTAATCGTAACTAACTTTTGTAGAACGTATATTAAAGTTGTATTAATAATAATATAATTAACGATTTGAGTATTTGTTTTTGATAAATTTTATAAATTAAAATAAGTTGAATATTATTATAGATTGAAATAATTTTTGATATTATATTATATTAACGTATTATTATTGATAGAGACCCGTAATTAAAGTTTAATTACAATTATTTCAAATAGTTTATAATTTAATAAAAATTAGGTAGGTTAGCTAATTTGAAATTGATTTATTACTACTATTGGTTATAAAAAATTAAATAAATAATTTTTAAAATGTCTATTTAATATCATACATTTTAATATATCGTTAAAAATGTAATATTTCTTATTTATGTACTTAGTACTTAATATTATCAGTATAGTTAATATCATATTGGAATGTGTGCCATCTAGTTACTACTTACACTTATTTGAAAATAAAGCAAACGTTGGTAGATTTTCATGCTGCGCACCGATTATTTTATTATACCACGAAGATATAGCAGAAAATGAAGCACTATTGGTTATATCATATACAAGTATAATTGCCTGAAATTGTAAATTAGTGTATATAATTGTAATTAGTATTATTTTTAATTAGTTTTTCATTTAAAATAGTATAATAAAAATTAGTAAAATGCATAAAATCTCTAAATATTAACTAAAATAACAATGTAAATGTATCATTCATCATTAACCATAATATTTTGTAGCTTGGAAATAATTAAAGTACACCTACTAAAAACATTGAATACACTAAATATTAATTTTTCAATTAATAAACTAAATAAACCTTATAAACATTAAAACTAAAAAATAAAAACTAGAGTCCCAAAGTTAATATAACAATTTCTAAGATGATCCAATCGCATAATATAAAAATTAAATTTTCCACTAACTTAAAAAGTAGAATAAAAATATTAATACGAACGGTTATAAAGTTATTGAAATACATTTGTTTTACATTTTTATTTAGTTCAATCAAAATAATATTTTCTATAAACATATTAGATTAAATCCATTCTGATTCCTTTTAGTTTATAAGCTAAAACCTTATATACCTATGTCTCGACTTATTTTTTATAGTTATTATAAAATTTGAAAAATTATACATATAACATTACATCAGCATTATATGTATATTTTGTTAAAAGTCCACTCGATGTACCACTTGTATCCCAAATATTAATTCGAACATTACGTCCACGAATTTGTGTTCTTTTTAAACAAAATTCAACTCCGCATGTTGGTATGTATTGTCTCGTAAAATCATCATGGCAATATCTAGACACAATGCAGCTCTAAATGTTACATTTTTTTATTCATTAAAAATATTTCTAGATTTTATAATTGAGTAAAGAGATTGTATATTTCTTACTTTCCCAGTTGACGGTTCTCCTATCACAACAATTTTCAATTCATCTTCAATTAATAAATTTTCACTAGGAACGATGGACATTTGTAATGTTTTTATAATTTGTTTATTTACTTACAGCTTATTTAGGATAATAAATAGATCATAGATTTGCTTATTATTTAATCACAATACACTATACTACTATACATACTATACTACACTACATACTATACATTACTAAAGAGTAAGAATTGTGTAGGTTTCTATGGATACATATTTCACAACAATACAAAATCATTCATTACTAAGACTGCTGTCATTATTGTTGAGAGTTTGTCTTGCATTAATTCTCCTACAGATTTAAACGGAATAGGATTAAAGTTTTTACTTGAATCTTTAATTTTTTATTATAAAATTAGTATTTAATTTATTTTGTGATACATATAATATTACAGTGTCATTACGGAATCAAATATTTTTAATTTTTATAATTAGTAAAAGCAATTAACTTTGGTTTATTTGAATGTATAAAAGATTCAATGAGAACAATTCAATGCAACATGATAATAAATAGTAAAAATATTAAAATCCTAAAATTTTCTTATATTTATGCTTAGAAATTAAATTAATTTACGTTCGTGTTACTTTCTATGAATAAAATAATTATTATAATATGAATCACAAAAATAATTTAGAATTAAAAATGTTCAGTATAAGAACAATTTTTACTTAATGAATAAATAAGAAAAGGTAAGAATAGAGATGGGTGATTAATATTGTCCTTATACATTTGAAATCCCAAATCCATATATACCATTGATTTTGAAAAACGATTCTGAGTGAAAGAAGATAGGTAGATCAGTCCCTATGTTCAAAAGTTATATATACTAATATATTAGGATGAGTATTATTTAATTTCTTAATAAAGTCCATTAAACAAATTTATACAAAATAAAATGGCATGTTTAACAAAAATAGTTTAAACTATTATTATATTATTTATACTATTGTAATAGAAGTATTCCGTTACTGTTTAAAGCAAAATAATATTAAGAAAAAAGTATTTGGCGAAACAAAAACTGTGGAACTCTTTGTGTATGTACAATAATCAAAGTATCTATTAAACATGGCTGTATTTTGAGAAGTGTTGCCCCGGGCAGCAAATATTTGGATGTTGGCTTAGTTTTTATATTTTCTGTTTATTAATTGTCATATTTTTATTTTTTATTTGTTATCTCAGGTAGCAAATTCCTAAACATAGTCGACCTAACATTGTACCTACTCGTACGTTGTAATATAAATACAACTAAAATACCGCACTCTTAACCACTTATTTTAAACTATCATGTCCATAATGTTATATCGTAATAATAATGTAACAATATATTATATATTTTATATTTTATAATGTTTATAGATCATTTGATAAATTGATTGATGCAATAGTTTTTATTCATAAACAAGATATCATAATATACTATACTTAATTTAGTAATAATTTGTACACTTTATTAGCATTATGTACGGAAATATTTGTAAATTTACAAACTATTTTTGAATTTTGATGTTGTGATGCATAAGTTTGTAAAGATTGAGCCTTATTTTAAAATTTTACCCCACATAAATACCGATACCTATAACTTACACACATGGAAGCGCAAAAAATATTCATCTAGTTATTGTATAATGTTTAATGTAACACTGATATTAAAATAATATTTTAAAGACTGATTACTGACGTTTTTTTTCTTATTATTATTTAAATTATTATTGTCTATTATTTATTTATTATTTATTATACCTTTAACTAAAACACTTAACAAAAAATATAAAAGTAAATAACAAACAAAATACATTTAATCTAATAAATCATAAATAATAATAACAGTTAACAATTAAATGTACACAAATATTTTGTTAGAAACCTTTAGACATTCAGGTATTTAAAAATACTTAGAGTTATGTAATTAAAAAAGCATGTATTTCATCTAGAAAAATTAATTTAATAACTTCCAACCGTGGTTAAAAATTTTCTACGATAATATCACGAATATTTAATGTTAGTTAGATCATACGTCGTATTAGTAAAAAAAAAAAAAAGTAATTAGTATTGGCTGTTGATTTATTAAATATTTACTTTGAAAAAATTTCATTAAAAGTACTGATAATAATAAATAGGGTTGAAGATTTGTAACATTTGCATATTTGTTTTGCACAATCACAAAAATATCAGAGTACAAAACAAATACGTTCATACTTTCACAAAGCTAGTCTTGAAATTTTATTTTGCATATAAACGCATATTTCGAGTTTTCTTTTGTTTTAAGAAATATTTCTTCCATTTATACTCTTAGAAACATATTTCAAATGATTTATCATTTAATCAATACTTTTCCGCCGACGTTTTTATTTCATCTGATATACCTAATATACGGCCAAAACATTGTTGAACTAAAAATAATTTTAAATTTTGATTATATCATATACGTATGGTTGTTGACTGTTCGTAGACGAATGTTTCTCTTAGAAATACGTCTCGAGGATCGCTGATTGCATTAATTTTATTTATAAATAGTAAACACTTGTCTACATCATACAATTTCCGATTGAACATCAACTGTTACATAAACGATATCTAAAAATGTCATTGCACCGACTTATGTCAATCGTTATTCGTTAATAATATTTTAGTTGTTTTTTCTTAGTTATGCCGTCTACGTATGTGCATATATTCATAATTCGTGTCAACGTTTTGTTTTTGTGTTCTAACATTAAATTACCAAAATTTAAGTATTCTTTTAACAGTCGGTTAAAGAGTTATTTATCAGAATTTGGTATTCTTCGATATGTTTTCGACTGACGGCAAAGTCCTATACCTTAAGTATTGTGACGCTGAAGTAAGATATGAAAAACGATTTAGTGTTACATTCATATTTTTTAAATAAATCGCTTAAAGAAATATAAGAGCATATTTTTAGTGCATATTATGGGTTTGTAAGTGCATAAATGCTTGCATATTTAATGCTTTTTTAGAGCTCAAGTCCTCTATCCTAATAATAAACAATTATTATTAATCAATTAAAACAATATAATATACTATTATAGTTATTATTTTATTGTACAATTCAATAACTTTGTTCTTTACACATTATAAATAAGTTTTAAATGTGTCTGATATTCCTTCTTTAGTTAATAATACTTTTCCCCAAGGAGTTAAATCATACCCTCTCTCCGTATATAAAGATGGGCCAAATATAACTCTTCCTAAATTACTTTCATTTCTCTTCAAAAATCCTTTTTCTCTAAGCCCGATCACCAGATAAACATTTGTAGCAGAGTTCAAGTCTAGTCGTATATCAACTTTAAATTCGTATGTTGCTTTAGGATCATTTTTTGCGTATGGTACTGATGGTGATTGATATTCTTTGATTCGTTTACCCTTGCTAAAATAAGCTATTTTCACGAAAGTTCTGGATTTTTCTAAAAATAGTATAAATTAATTAGGTTAAAATATATAAGAATGGGTACATTTCATATTTTAATTAAAAGATTACGGTACAAATCTTAATTTATAAGCATTATTCCACAATCCGTATTATATAGTTGTTTTACTAACCATGAGGCAAATTTAAATTATTAGCTTCGTGAACAACTATATGCAAAACTTCCTGTTGTTTCTTATAGCTTAAGCTGATAATTAAATTGCAATGGTTTAAATCCGGCTATATTAAATAGAATAATATTTTGTTTCAAACGTTAGCAATCACGTTAAATTATATTTGGTATATTCTATTCGAAATGTCAATACATACCCAAGAATGTTTGTAGAGCTTAACACTTTGTGCCCCATCATTATTAGGTGTTATATTGTCTAAATAAAATAGTGCATGACCAATTGCATCATATTTTCCTTGATATTCGTGATCAAAAACAGATATTCTAATTAAATTAATAAACTATTAAAAATCATATCAACCAGAAACAAAGAATTGTTTTATTTAATATTTACCTCAAAACTTTGTTTGCAATACATTTAGTGCTTATAAAGAAATCTTCATTTACTACGGGACTCATAGCAGCAGCTATAGTTTTACTAGTTTTCGTAGTTTTTTCCTGAGGCAAAAGCGTAAGTTTTAAAACTGTCTTATATGGTCGTTTATCTTTTCCTTTTGGTGCTAATCCGTCCAAGTTATCCACACGCACAAATAGCCTTAAAAATAATTTTACAGCTAAACTTCGTATTGTATTTTTAAAAATAAAATTTTCTATTTATACAAAAAGTAATTAAGTAAAAATATATATTGATTATAGTTGACTAATTAATTTAAAACATTATATACAAAAACATGCATGAATGTTGATAATATACAATAAATAAATATACGTATTTTTTTTCACACAATTCACGGTAATACTGGCTATTGGATGTATTGGGAGAAATTTTGGTATTTCCTAGGTTGACCAATAAGTTGAAAGTTCGATATAGTGTAATAAGTAGTGTAGGAAGTAGTGTAGGAGACATTTTTGTTAAATTATCGATAGTAGTCATAGAAATCCAGTAACGGCGGACGCAGCTTAACCACAGCACCGATAAATAATGCAGCTAATCATTATCAAACCGTACCATGCCTCTGCATTGAATATTTATTATTGAAACAAATTAGGTATTTGATTAAGATACTATATCTACAGAGTTTTCGAACAAATAATTTTGAAATTTGTGAAGTGTAAATTTTTTAACCTATCATTTGACTTAAACTAAATTTACTATATAATTAATTTGAATAATTTTTATCATTTATATTCCACAATAACTGTGGAATTCTACACGAAGTAAATAATATAAAACATCACCCAATGTTTAATTTTGAATATACTTTATATACATTTTATTTAATATATACTTTATTTATGAATACTAGAGGATATAAACCGGAAACGCAAAACGATATAGTCTGATTCTGGGATGAAATTAAATATAAGTTGTATTTTGTATAAAATACAGAACGGAATCTATATTTTAAGTCATTCTAATCCCAAGAATGTGATTTCATTAGTTTTTTTTTTAATATATAAAAGTAATATACTTTATTTATTTAATTTATTTTTCTATATCAAATAATGTGTAAGATATATATCTGAAGTGAGGATAAATATGATATAAAATATAAAAGTGAAAACTTGACAAAGGATTAGAAAAAATTCCTCGAACTATAGAAAACTAATTTATCTAAGAGTAAATCCAGAATTATTGTTCTTTACTAGTTTACTATTTATTCTTTATATCCAATATAATTAAGTTATAGATACTCTCTTTCAAGCTACCTTAAATCTCATTTTAAATTTATTTTTATTATGAATGTTTATATATATTATATTCGTGTATGTGTATACTTTTTTGTATGTAATAAAAATAAATAATTATGTAAAATATTAAAAAATAATAAATATAGCATGTTATCAGGATGAAAAACTAAAATTTAATAAACAATAATTTTGTTAGATTTTATATATGTATAAATTAATTTAATTACATCTTAAAAATGAAGGCAAGTTTAAACAAAATATAGATGCGATACAAAAAAAAAAATTGGTTTATATCTTAAAAATTTAAGTACTGAATACTAATAAACCTTACAAGTGATAATTCAAAAATTATACATAACAATTAATGTATAAACTATAAAAAGCAAAAAAGATTATTTGAAACAAGGTTAAATTTAGTTTTTGTTTAGGATATTAAGTTACAGTAATGAGTAATATTTTTATTTATTTAGTCTTCTCTTTAGTACCAAGTTATTAGTAGGATATCTGGTTGAAAATAGATATTGATGCCAATAAACACTATCCACTATTATTTTATTATATTTTTTTAAAGAATCGAAACAGAACAACATTTTTCTTACACAAATAAAATACAAAAACTTAAAACGAAATTTTGATTTTGTAAAAACCGAATAGAAACCGAAACCTCAATTTTTTTTTTTTAAAACCGTAAAGAAACCGAAATTTAGTTTTTTAAAAACCGGTATTGATATCGGAACAAATTTTCTTTCTAGGAACCGAACCAGAATCAGAAACTTAAAGTTCATTAAAGTTCTAGTCTTTGCTCATTAATGAATATACCACTGGTTATTACCACATCCAAATTATTTATTAATTAAAAATATGCTGTAATGCATATCTATATTATATATTCATAAATAACTATTTAGATGATATTACTTTTTTGTATATTGATCGTAAGTTATTTTAAAATTAACATTTCCATAAGCTTGTTCTTGGTGAGCATTAGGATCAACGGTAGGAGCGTTGTCTACTGGGGTTATCCAAGTATTCGAAACTGCTTCATTAGACTTTGATCTTATGGATGTTAGTTTACTAGTTACATTATACATAGATGTTGCTACGCATCCAAAACGATAGGGACGTGTAGATGAGCTTGCATTGGTGTTTTCAGCATCGGCATTTTTTGATGACAATGCAAAACTGTCCGAATCTGTAGTTGAGGTCACATCCTAATATAAACATTTGATTAATCTATTTTTCTCCTTGAAAGAGCAAAGTTTTATTTACCTGCATACTTTGAGACTTAAGCCAACCAGTATTTTCTTTACACGAAGTAGGAGAAAGATAATCCATTTTATCTTCTTTCTTGGAAAATTCTTTCTTACCCGATGTTAAACTCTAGTTAAAAATATAAACGTATAATATACGTATAGGCAAAGATAATTTGAACATTAAAAATTCAAATTTCTCTATAAAATGGATGCTATTCTTCAATTATTTTTAGTTGTTATTCTATCACATATACAGTCAACTCACGGTATGACGAAGTTCGATATAACGAAAACCTCGATATAACGTATAAAACTGTCGGACCCTTGAAAATCTCGTGATATAACGAAAAATTAAATGTATTTTGGTCCCCTTGATATAACGAAGATTGTTTGACCAAAGTTCACGCAATATAACGAATTTTTACAATTTTGGAGATTGATACTTCACGTTTTACGAGTTTGTTTCGTCTATTATTATGCAATAACATAATGTTCAGGTATCGTTTATATCAGCAATTCCCAAACTGAGCACCGTGGTGCCCTAAGGGCACCACGATCACTTTCTAAGGGCACCACGGTTTATGGCTTATAACAAATAGTTTAAAATGTATACAATTGTTTTTTCTTATGATTTTCGTAAAAACTTTATAGCAAATAATGTAATATTTTCTATTATATAATTGGGTATTTTCATTTTGATCGTATAATGATTTTATATAATAATTATAATCATAATAACAATAATTTTTATTTGTTTAATTTTTAAGTTTAAAAATGTATTCATTTATAAATAAGTTAAATTTTAATAAAATTAATAAAATTGGTTATCAATAGGGTTTTTTTGTTCTGTAATGCAGTTCACCAGTGGCGTATCGCGGGGGGGGGGTTTGGGTGTTGTAACCCCCCATTAGTTTTTTTTTAATTATACAATTCCCTGTATGCACGGCATTGTTGATAGTTGACCGTAGGACAATCGATGGTGACCAATTATAGAACTATAAATTACTAATTTTGTGTTGTTCCTCCGTGGCTGATAACGATGCATACACATACGGTGCTTTCTTATTTGAAAAATGGTATTTAACAATATAATGTGTACATAATATCATATTGATTATTAGACTATCGATATTCCATGCTATTAATTTATCATGTACGAAAACGGTTTTTTCTCTCATCATAATTTTGTATTTTTTTTAAATACCCCCAAAAAGTAATGTTTTATCCAAATCAATAGGACGTATAACCTTTGGAACTGTTATGTCCAACAAGATGGGTAGACCGATATGACTCAATAATTATTTTCTTCGAATTATTTGATGCAATAGTTAATAGTTTATAAGAAGTTTGGACTTGGCTTGATAAGGATGCTTCATCAGAAGCATACCAATTGCTGTGTGCTATTTGACAACCAGAATTTATACTATATATAAATGGTATCGTTTAAACAAATTTCTTTGATTTATGCTTTTGATATAATGAATTTCGATGTAACGAACTTTCGATACAACGAACTTTTTGCTTGGTCCCTTGAAATTCGTTATATCGCGATTGACTGTAGTATATTGAAATTTCATTATGAATAATTTTTAATAACCACAAACTTGCAAGTTTATACGTAGGTACTTTTAATAACATTTACACTTTCATCAATAATAAAATAAATTGATCACCCACACTAATAACCACTATATAAAAATAGAATACGGCAAATAAATGAATTAATATTTAAATAACTCACTAAGTCTGGGGTGGAAGTAGAACCAGCTCCTGCTGTAATCGGTTGTAACATCATCATACTAACACCGGCTAGTGTTTGAAATGAATTTGGTGTTTTTGGATCTTTGGTTTTATTCATCGCTTTTCCCCATTTTTTTTTCCTAATGGATTGTGTTTTCGGTGGAGGATCATCATCTTCTCCGTCACTTGTAAGACCAGATACAGAAAGCCCATCATCATCATGAGAAATATGTCGTCCAAAGCTGTAATTTATTTAGTGCGATTTAATCGTCTATATACCTATATACCAGCGATGCCCACTATAGATGACTCACGGATAGGGTTGTCATCCATCCCAATATATTGGGTTTGTCACCGTTATTGAGCTCTACGTCCCGACGACCCGACAAAAAACTAAAATTACTGAAACTACTCATTGCAAATTTCGCACATTTTGCTTTATTACTTAAGAAAATGCGATCGAAAATAAAAAATTGTGTTTTTAAATATCTATGACTAAACTTATGGGTAATAGTGTTTTGTTAATGACCATATAATGGACGGATAAAAGACATCATCTGCTCCCAAAGACTATGGAGTTGATTTTACAGAGCCAAGTTAATTATAACATGACTTGCGTAGAGTTATACAATTATGTTAAAGTGAACAAAGAGATGTTAGAAAAAGCAAAATCTTCTAAAAAGTATGGCTATTCAAGTACTCTGTAATAAAATTAAAATATTGTTTTTAATATAACCTAAATAGATAAATAAATAATTTATCTAAAAAAAAAAAAAAAATTATAATTTTAATTAAAAAATTGAGTATTTTTATACACTCCATCCTAGAATTATTAGAACGTCCCGATGAACCTTAGCCAAATGGTAACCCTACTCACGGACCACACACAGCTCTTTTATACATTTGTTGTGGTCAATTGTAAAATTTGACTTTCTACTTAAAAATATAACAACAATTGCTTCATCTCACTGTTCATATTTTAAAATTCATTCAGTCCCAAACGAAAATTTAAGTTATGATCACTAGTCTAGTGGTATATATCAGGGGCGTATTTTAGGGGGACGAAGTGTGCGATCGCTCCCCTTGAATCTTTATTTGAATGGTTCCGCCGAATAAAGGCCTATGTATGATTTCTCAACTTTTCAGGAGCGTCGAAAAACAATGTTTAACTTAGTATTATTAATTACAATGTCTTTTGGAGTGACATGGGCCCTTCTTCCACTGTAAAATTTAAAAATAAAAACCTGTTGCACATATAGGTGTATCATGTTTGTTTTTGTCGGGTCCATATTTTGTAAAAAATCAAATAAAACACAAGAGTAACTTTCAAAACACAGACAGGTGTTGAAAAAAACTAAATAAAAGTCAATTCTTAGTGGATTCGGCATTAGATTAAAAAAAAAAAAAAAACAAATATTGAGGATTCACCTAATATAAATATTACCAAAAATTGTACTTGTACATTTTGAACCTGAATTAAAGAAAAATTTTAAGTCGTTCTCCTCCCCTAGAAGTAAGTCTACGCCCCTGGTATATATATATATATATATAAAACATGTATATCATTAACACAATTGTTTATTTTCGTTAATTTTAGACGTATAGATACCAACCTCGAGATCTTTTGAACGGTGTAGTGTTCAGTATTGCCAGAAACTGAGTGTCCATTTTCCAAAAGTCCCAAATTAAGACCTACTTCGTCGTTCCGACGACCGATTCCAAAATAAAATAAACAACATCGATAACAGTTCTTGAACATTTCACCACACTTATAATAAATCACAAACACGTAATCACTTTTTCTGATAGAAACTCAGATTAAAATGTTTAAAATCGAACCATTTATTTGACATAGTTATTGGCGAAAAATAAATTAAATAAGCAATGCATATATTAACTTTGACCGGGTTATAATTTATTAAAAAAGATTAGTCATTATTAGAAAAATAAAAGAGTTGTACTTTAGTGATTTATTTTTTTAGTTCTACCGGTGAGTAAACTAAATTTTGACCAAGTATATTCTTTTGGAAATATTTTATGCTATAAAATTTGAATAGACAGATGTTTCGGTCAACTGTGTAAATATCATATATATGCAGGCGAACACCGGCGTGGGCCCCTATCGGCGTAAAAAACTATATACACTATAAAACGTGTGTACCATGTTATCGGCATAGGAAGTATTTATCATTTTATGTTAACAATTTTATATTAGGCTATTCTTTGGTACATGGTACACAATGGCTTATTCTTTGTTCTTAGAAAATGAATAAATAAAAATAGAATACTGAAGTATTTATATTGTAAATGATAATATTTATGTATGATTATATTATATGTATGATTATATTCGTACAATAAGTGATTAACTGTTAATTTAAATAGTAATGATTATAATCAAAATTATTAAATTTTACTCTCATACTCGATAGTGTATTTTACTAGCGTAGGGAATTTCAGGGGCAACACATATTTTGCCGCTTCCCTCCCCTCAAAAAAAAAACTTATTATTTTTATTTATTTTAACAATTTTAAAAATTAAGTAAAAAAAAAAAAAAACAACAGAGAAAATATAATAAAAGGCTTATATTTACAATATAATTTCTATTTTTGTTCATATTTTTCTCAGAGTATTACAAACCTACGATCACCCTTAAGGTTGTATTTATTAATTCATTAAATAAACAATTAAAAATGAATGTATTACTAAGTATAATTTAATAATAATACTACAGTAAATTTTTCACATTTGAGTATAATAGTCGTATTTATATATTTTTTTATTCCTGTCATTCATATCGTTATTTAAATACAAAATTTTAATTTTAAAATTAGGTGAAAACGCTTTACTGTATAAAAACATATTTCTGAAGTTTGGTTTTATGAATATCATAGATCGTTTGAGCTTAATACATCCTCAATGTGTGTACCGTTTTCAATTTCTATTAAACGAATCTAAGAAAGTTAATAAAATCAAAAGAAATCTTAACACTATTTATCTCATATTGGTTAATAAACCGTTGTGTTTTTAGAAAAAATATCAAAAATAAAATAAAACGCATATGGCTGACCATTTATACAATGCACTTAGTGTTTCCTCAAAAGAACATAACTTTGGAGAGGAACTTATAAATCAGCAGCTATATCAAAGGTTAGAGCTGTCTAAGGAAATTATGTAGATAGTTTATAAGTTAGAATTAATTCTGATTTTGAATAACACTATTAAACGTAAGACTTATATTATGCCTGAAAATATTTTAAAACAACCAATATATCAAGTTATTTTAGCAAAAAAAAATTTTCAATTCAAATTAATAAATCCGTTTATGTCCAAAATAACGCCTAACTAATGATATTTATACATTATAGAAGTCCTGACGATTTTTTGAAGAATTTTTGTTTTGTGAACCAATGTCTATAACCACAACTGAATTAGATATTTTTAAAAAATTTGATAATTTTTCTTTCGGAAAAATGGCCTAGTTTGGATTGATTACATTAGAATATGCTTGCAAGTTGAATTTAATTTTGTAAATAAGTTCAGGAAGTTAATTTAAAAGTTGTAATTATTCATTGTTTATTACACAACGAAAATTTGACAACACGAACAATTCAACCAGAACTTTATATAGTGAGATGTTATTCAAACAGTAAACTTTTTAAAATCAATGGCATTGAATTCAAGAATATCTCATGCCATTTATGACGATATGGGATTGCTGTTTATTTATTTACTTTATCGCTCAGATTTACATAAGTTTTTCCGAGGAAAAATTCTTTCTCGTTTCATGTCTTTGTGTGTAGATATACATATTTGTCTAACAAAAAAACCCGTCTCATTGGCTGATAAATGTAATGACAATGTGTGGACCAAGTTGAGTTTTTGTGATATTTTTGAGCCGTTATATGTGTTGAATGTTGATGCAAAGAAAAAATCGGAAAACGATTGATATTGGTTAGAAATTATGATTCAAATTACAAGGATTATATTTTTTATTTTTATAATTTTGCGGTAATGAATAGTTTAATTTAAAATTTTATGGTCATCTTTATAAAGGTTGAAAAACATTGATCTGTAGTTTAGTGTGTAACCTACGAAGTAAAAATTTGTCATTCCTCTAAATTTTTAAAAATTTGCCGCTCCGGAAAATAGGACCCATAGCTCTTACCTAAATATGCCCCAGCTCGTTTTATGTAATTTAAATAATGGAAAGCTGAGTGCAAACACTATGAACTACTATATTATAAATACCGGCACAGGATCGAATAGTACAATCCCATTCGATTTCCAAAATTTCCATTCGGTTCCCGTCTCTTTACGAATCATCAATTCCCAAGTTACACCCATTCAATGAATAAGTCAGCACAAGTCCGTTTTTTCTTCGATAAATTAAAATGAATACAATTTTCTCAAATCTTAAGTTTACATACAAAGCACTATTTTATCTCCCCTATTTTAGGTAACTAGTACCTATAGAAATTATATGGCATCAGGTATAAGCTTACTATAGCTTACTAACCTAGGTTAGTATTTCTATCTCACTTTAAAATGTGGTCGGTAAACGTAGTGAACGTAAATTATATAATATTATAATATAGCTTTAATATGGACAATCTTCACCCCTTACAGTTCGGCAAATTAGTGTTCAAGCGTGTCGATGGTATCGTCACTATCCAATTGGCCGACTCTGCCCGCATTAAAATTGCATTTTCATCGGACAAACAATTTTCTTAATTTTTCAATTTTATCTGAATTGAACTGGTCCGCTTCATAAATTTATTAAAACAAATTTGAACTATAAAATTTTGTTTCATCTTGAAAATTGACTAATTTAGAGTTAGTTAAAGTTTCAGTTTACGAAATTAGTATTCATCGTATTTTTTAACTGTCAACCTACGTTTTTGCCAAGTTCCATGTAATTTTGTATTATTTTTTTTAAAAATCAAGTGTGCTGTTATTATTCGTATAAAAAATTCATATTATTTTTATCGAGTTATCAACTCGAATTTCTCATACATGGTATAACTATGATTAATTAACTAATTAAATCTAAACAAATTTACACATAGATACCTATTATTCTAAATTTTAACATTCACCTTATAAAACAAAATGTTGATTTTATTTTACAATTAAATTGTTTTATTTATAGCCTAAAGACATGATATAATATATTTAAATAAAATGTATTTTTTATAATATTATAAAATCATTTATTTTTTAGAAAAATTTTACACCCCCCCCCCCCCCCCCCCCATAAAACATTTGAAAATACGCTACTGCAGACAACAATACCATTATAAGATATGCTGGTAGAGTACCAATGTCTTATAAATCATAATAATAATCTGTTTATCCACTTGTTACTTTATATTATATATCCACTTTAATTTACTTTATAGTTTTATTAATATACAAGCCCATCGACCTACAAAGCTGATTTCAATCAATGTAGTGGTTCATGAACTATATTTACTACCCATACATTTGCCACTTTACGGTTTCGTCTTGATTTCACAATATATATTGACAATATTTCAAATCGTCAATACATAACATAAAAAACTGAACACAATAAGGATGACTGATGAGGGTATTAGAAAATTGTTTAAAGGTTAAAAGCACTCAACTACCGACAGCAATGCTGAATGAGGGGTGACTACTAACCTGATCGAGTTATTTGTGTTTCTTGACCATCTCTGGTTACAATAATCATCGATCGGTTCAAAATCCAATAGGCCTGTGATTAAATATTTCATAAAAAATAAACAGAAATTATGATCTACTTAAAATTATAGATACATGATAGAAATATTTGATTTGATTAATATTAAATTAAACGATTATCACATTTATTATTTATAATTATTATAAAAGCATTTTGATTGGTGAATAAACGATCATGGCAAACGTGGCGAAATAATAATCAGTAATTAATATTACGCATGTTTAAAATCTCAACTATTAAACATTTTTATGTCAACTTGATGGCTACATAAAAAGTATTAGACCGCTTAATAACAATCCACTAATAGATAGTCAATAATGCATTTGTGAAAAGCTTTGGTGCAATTGAATTTGAATTATTGTAACTTATAAAAAAAAAATTTAATCTTTTGAGTGTATAAGTGGTTTTTTTATCAAACAAAAACAAAAACAGTTTGGTCCACTTAGTTAGTAAGTACTCTTATAGAGCAATTAGAAGTAAAATTTGTATTATCTTTAATTAGGTGCGTAACTATTTATGTATATATATATATATTACATTTTTTTTTCAAAACCATACATATTTATTATATTTTTTATTTCAGCTATTTGATCGCGACCGGTAAAATAATTATTTATAAAATATTATAAATTTTAATAAATATTAACCACTTATTACTTATAAAATTATTTATATATTTCAAAGTATTTGAACCGTTCTTAGAGTTGAAGATATTACACCCATCATGATTAATTTGGATTTATCTCTTATTGAAATATTTTATGTATTATAATACATATACTTTAAGATAAATAGGTTGGTATCTACTTAAATCCCTCCATTTAAAAAAATGGTGCGCATCCTCAAAAAAAAGAGAACCATGGTATTTAATTTTTTTATTTTATATAATTAACACCAGTGTCCGACTTGAGGGGGGACGTATGGGAACGGAGTATCCCAACTAATTTTTAGAAATTTTAGCGTCCCCCTACTATTATTACGCTATAATCATAATGCTCAGCTAGTTTTGGAGACGTTCTTTTTTTTTAAG